CAGCTCTCAGGGGAAGGAGTGAAACTTTGGTCTTTCACCCCTGGGGCTGGAAGCAACAGAGAGAAGTTGACCAGTTGTGATAAGGCTGTTAGCCTTGGGGTTCAAAGCCCATGTTGCTCTACCTTTATCTGTGTTGTCGATACTATTTCAATAGCTTCTGTTTGAGGAGATGAAGCCACAGAGCAGGGACAGGGGATTGGGGTCTGCTGACCAGAGGCCAGGCCAGGTGAACCGAGTACCCCCTTCTGTGTCAATTCCAAAAGGCAGAGTTTGGAAATCAAGTCAACAGAGAGCTTTTCTTCATCGTCACATGAACAGCCACTCAGCAGTGTTTGGAGAGAGTTGGGCAATGCTGGATGGAGTCAGGCCAGGGAAAACTCAACTTTAACCTCTAGGTCTCTAAGCTGGCTTTGGCATCCATGTTTCTATCTGCTCACCTCCAGCTCAGAACAAAAAGAAAAGCTCCAGGCTTATGTATATAGCTGCCTCCATCTGTCCATTGTGGAATTACCATGGGCCTCAGAGAACATTCTGGAACATTCCGTCTTCTCCCCTCACACCGGGTGTGCACCATCCGTGGGCTCAAACTGTCACCAGGCAACCTCTTTTTGATGTCCCCAGAGTTCTTGCTCAAGGACAGCTGCTCTGTAGCATAAGCCAATTCAGCCAGGACTGGAATCATGCGTGTAGCAAGAAAAACGGCCCAATTCCAGGAGTAGGCATGGCAACCATCTACTGGGAGAAGTTTAAAAATAGAGAGAGAACATTAGAGATTATTTGCTCCTAACCCCTTGCTTTACAGATGAGGAAAAGAAGGACCATAGAGGGGAAGTTTCTTGCCCAGATGCCCCGGTTAGCAAATGGTCAGGTAACCCTAAGCCCACTCATCAGGCCCCCGTACTGTGGTTGGTTGGATTTTTTCCACTGTACTGTTTGACTCCTTATCATGTGTCTCTAAACCTTTCTAGTTCATGTTATTATTTTATTTTCTACTTTATTTTTCCAGAGGGTATATGTGCATTTGCCAGAGAGAGGGAAAGTGAGAAATCATCTCCTGGCGGGGGGGTTGGGGTGGGGGTAGGGGGATGGCCAGGACGCAATCCCTCCTCCTCCATTCTCCTCTCAGGATTTTAGGATTCCGGCACACATGTCTGGCATGTTTTTCAAGCCACCAGGTCCAGGACTCGAATTCTTCAGTCAGCCACGTGAGATCTGGCAGCCCTAACTACCATGCCAGTGACGGGCCTCATTATTGTTTTAAGTTTATTTATTTCTTCCATGAGAGAGAGAGAGTGCCCCCAAGAGGGTCTTGACACAGCAATTACCCCCAGCCTCAGCCAGCCCCAGGTTATAGGGGCACATGTGCCTGGTGTTCTGAGGCGAGGCCTCCAGACAGGAACTCAGGAACTTCCCATGTGAGTCAACCTCACAAAGTATCACATTTTACCTCTATGCTACCCTCTAGTCCTCTAGTTCCTGTTCTTAATTATCAGGTCCACCTTTGATTAGTTCATTCTGAAGTATCCCCTATGAGCCTCATGGTGGACTAGAACCTGGGATGGACTAGAAACAAGAGCTGCCGCTTCCCTAGAAGCTCCTGTAAGAAACTTTCATGGTTATCACCTCCCTGCCCCTCATTTTCACTTCCCCTTTTCCTCTCAGAGCCTCTGCCCTGGCGTGGAGGGAAGGGAGCAGAGGTGACAGCCCTGTCATGACTGTCACAATCCTTCACAGGTCGTCAGGGCAGAAAGGAGGCCACCATAGCATCCCAGCAAAATCCTCAGGGTTCTGAGGTCACTGAGGTGAAAAGAACAAGGTCTTCCACAAGCATCTTTAGAGGAAAAGAAGCAAACCGGCTGGAAAAGTTCTGAAATTTAGGGGAGGCCTAGACACGAGCAGAATTTGCAGGGCCCGTTCTGTGGGAGGCATTTTCCCCTTTAAAGCGCCAGAGCTCACATTGGGCCCCATTGCAGTCTCCGGATGGGGATGCGGAGGTTTAACCAATCAGCAAATGTTTGAGGTGCTGTCGGGAAGCACAGGGCAGCTCCCTGCAGAATTGCTGAGACAGTTACTGAGAGTCAAAGGCACAAAATAAATTAGAAGAGGGATGATGTTGTGGAGAGATCCTTGCTCCCTCTTGAAATGCAACCTGTCATTCCAAATGTTTCATGCACTGACAAGAAAGACTAAAAATATATAAGCACGACATTTGCATCCGTTAAATAGTCATTTTGTCATACATGGTTGGAAGTTGGGTTTTCTTAAAAGTTGTCAGGAAGGGTCTGCCTCTGCTGCTGGGTCTTTGTGGCTTCCAGGTGAACTCGAGTGTGGGAGGTGCTCAGGTAGGCTGATGGGCCTCAGCACTAAGTCGAACCTACTCATTCATTGCCTGCAGCAATGGGATTCAACTATTTCAACGATAGAGTGGAGACGTGGCATCTATCTGTCTTGGGAGGCAAATGCAGGACAGCCCGGCCTTCCCCTTGCCAAGCCATGTACAAAGCCGCTCTTGTCCAAGCTCTGGAAATCAACGGACTTGTGGAGTTTTGCTTCTGGGGGCTGAAGGTGTGTCAGGTGGTGGTAGTGAAGGAGGCCAGCAGCTTAAGGTTTAGCAAGATGGCAGCCATTTTGAAATTAAGATAGGCCTCTGGAACGAGAACAATCTGACCAAGTGCTGAGTCACAGGGAGATCTGTGTGAGGAATGGTCAGATGAGAACCAGGAATGGGTACTTGAAGGAGTCAGGATAATTACTCAGAGGAAAGCAATTGACTCTGATTGTAGAAAGGAAAAATTTGCACCTGCTTGTATCTTGTACCTATCAATACCGAGAACAGGTTGAACTTTTCTAGACTGTTTGATGGTGCTTGCTGCCTCCCTGTAACCGGTCACAGAAATCAACTCCCTTCTCTGGCCTCTGCCTCTTGTTTCATTGACAAGAAGCTGCCAGACTTGGCCAGTAACAGCAGGACAGATCACTGAATTCAGAGCCCCTTGTTGGTTCTGGGAATCAAATCCATATTTCTTATCTTTGTCCCATCACTCCTGTCACCTGGGCAGTGTATTATCTCCTTTCACTGTCCTTTCAGGACAACCTGGGAAGACTCTGCAAGTTTGTATTGTTGGAACGAGTCCAGTTTTGTGTGATACTCCAACTTCTATAAAGGTTGGGAGTCCTCTGTTCCTCAGGGGCAGCAGGGGGCGGAGAGGTAGTTCTGAGACTCTCCTCTTCCCTCTGCCGATATGAAAGGATGAAAGCTGAGGGCCTGATCTCTTGCCATTGATGGTGGCCTGTCCGAGGCAGGAGATCCTGAAGGTCTCTGAATAGGGGTGAGTGTGGCTCTCATGGACCTGGTGTTTGGCCCTCTGTCACTGGGGACCTGCCAGAGAAAGGAGTCTTGCCTCCCTTTGATCCATACTGGGAGTGCATATCCCCAAGCCCTCTCTAGGCACTCCATGGCCCTGCCCGTCCTTCACTTCTTCTAGACCTTTCCATGAAGTTTAGCAAAAGCTCAGGTAGGTCCTTTAGTCCCACTGAGGGCCCTAGGACATGGGATGGCAGGGCCATCCTTGTCTTCCCAGACATAGGACCCTACACCCTGCAGGTCCCTATGCCACAGACACCAGTGGGTATCCAGGCCCTGTGGTCACACTGCTGGGAGACCCCTTGAGCTATTGCCACTCTTCTTCCTCGCCATGGTCTCACAGGGTCCTTCAGCTCCATGGCTCTGTTGGTAGCAGCTGGAAAACCCGCTGGGTGGGGGTTGACGCACAGGGAGGCGTGGGGCAGGTTGGTGCATGAGAGAGGGAGGTTTTTGAGATCTCAGTGCTCTGGGGCATGTGGGAGGCCATGCTTTCAGGCTCTCTTCAGAAAACAGGGACACCTCGCTCTGACCCTCTGCTGTGGGAAGAGTCCCACATCGCATCCCGTCACTCAGCCACGAGAGGGGAAGAAAGAGACTGTTAGTGACACAAAGTGAGCTCCACAATATACTGTGGAATTGCAAAAGCAAGGTTCAGAGCACTCTGTGCTGTGGCCCAATTTGTATAACAGGGAAGGACACGGTGCACACACAGATGTCTCCGCTGTAGTCGGTTTCTGCAAACATAAGCTTTGAGGAACAAGGGTTGCTTTAGGGGATGAGGCCTGGGTTCCCCCTTTCCTCTTAGACCTCCAGGGACGGTTCAGAGCAGGTGCCGACTGAGTTAACCTGGGGAGGGAGAGAGAAGGAATCCACCTAGTAAAGGTAAGCAATAAAGGACCTGGTGTGGAGATGGCCTCACCAACACATGTGCATGGCCTTGGTGCCAGCTAAGGAAAAGAGGGACATACTACTTTCACCGAGATAAATGTGCTAGTCAGGCCTGGCCTGTTTCTAAAGCGGGCGAGAGGCAGCTGATGATGTATTCGCCTGAAAACAGAAGAGAACAGAGCAAATGGAAAGTGGAATGGGCTGAGGAACGATTATATCCAGAATTCGCTCTTCCACGCTCCTACAAGGCCCTTGCTCATCACCATCTCATTGCTTTTTCTTTTCTTTTTTTTTTTTTTTAAGATGCTTCTGCCTTTTGGGTGCATACACTTGTTGGAGAGACTGAGAGACAGAGACAGTGAAAGGAAAAGTGGGAAATCACCCCCCAAGGGGGATAGTCACACTGCAGCCCCTTCTCCTCCATTCTCATGCAGGGATCTTGGGCATGCATGCACGTGTGCCCGGCATGATTTTCAAGCCACCAGGTCCAGGAGTCCACATGCAGTTGGTCATGTGAGAGTCCAGTGATGTAATCACGATGCCATTCACTGGTCCCGTCACTGTCTCATTCCAACATCACAGCCACTGGGGTTGGGGGGGGGTGGACAGTGCCGGCACCAGCCCCACTGTGCAGATGAGAACCCTGCAGTGAGAAGGCTGACTTGGTCATGTCACGTATCTGGGATGGGTGACTCAGATGGACAAGACATCACTTTTTTGTTATTGAGTGTGATTCTTTCCTCTATAGACATTCCCAGAAGTCTGGTGGCCTGAGGAGAATAATCACAGTACTCCCCAGAGCTGGAATGCAGCTATGCTCCCACCCACCACGTGCGCGGCCCTCAGTACGTGCACCGTCTCTGTGAGTCCTCTCACCAATTGCTATTCTCAGACCTACTAGTGTCCTCATTTTACAGACGGGGCAACATGGTGTGACCAAGGTCACCAAGTTTGAGGGTGGCAGAGCAAGGATTTGGCCCCAGCTTCAATAGCTCCACCTCACTGCCCTGAGGGGTCAGTACACTCCTACTCTCCAGGGAATTTTGCTCAGTGATAGATATCAGAGCTATTGGCCCAGCCTCTTCTTTCTGAGGGTTCTGGTTTCAACACTTCCAGTTTTTCTCCCTAATCACGTGGGGTTGTCCTACATACTGGGCAAGTCTGGGACTAGACCATGTGCCTCTTGAGACTGAGTTTTATAGTCCTCATCTACATATCTCTGGTGCCCAGGACAGAGTCAGTGAATGAATGAATGAATCTCCCCTCTGCGCCCACTTCTTTTTATTTTTTTCGAGAGGTTTTCTCTATAGGGCGCGTGTGCTCGCCAGACAGACAGAGACAGAGACAGAAAGCGAGAAATCACCCCCCAGGGGGGATGGTCACCCCGTAATCCCTTCTCCTCCATTCTCCTCTCAGTATCTTGGGCACACACGCCCACGCGCCTGGCGTGAGTTCTAAGCCACCGGGTCTGGGATGCGAACCGTGGTCGACTACGTGGGAGTCCAGCGACATAGCCATTACACTAACTGCTGGTTCCCTGTGCCCACTTCTTTATAAGCTTTTTGGAAAGATGGTATCTAAGCTCCTGAGTGCTCTGGGGGCCCTCACCCATTTGAAAGGCTTTGAGACCTTCTCTACTATGCCTTAGTAAAAAACAAAAAACAACAACAAAAATAAATAAATAAAACAACAGAAAAAGCTAAGGATAAATTCCTCCCACTTCTCTTTTTTTTTTTTTTATATCTTTTTTTTTTTTTTTTTTGGGGGG